CTTGACTTGCATTTCTTGATTTTCCATGAATTAAATATCATCAATGATATATTTCGTTCCTCACCAAGACAACAGAAGAATACAATTGTTTACACGGATGCAGTTACTGGGCGTTAAGTCCATTGACCCGAAGAGAATAATTACAAGCAAATTAAAGATGATATTATTACAAGTAATTTAGAATTTTAATTAAAGAGGGAATATGAAGCTGGCCGATGGATGAGATTTCTACTTTCAGTCTATCAGGACACAAATGAAATCTGAATTTCCATCTTTTCTCCTGTAGCTCACCTGGCACTGCCCAGTTTCGGTTCTGTCGACTGAATGTTTATTTAGCCGAAGGGAGAAGCAACAGTTTGAAGCAGACTCTTAAGTTTTAGAACTTTAGTTTATATACTTTTTGTAACAAAAAAGGTCTCTTAAAAAGTCGCTATATCGTAGATTAAATATCTATGAACTGATCACAACCTACCCCGCATTAGAGCATATCTAACATTGATGAACCACAACCAGATTATATATTGCTTTTATCAAACCTCTCACCTTTGGCTGTAATGAATATATCTAGTGTTACCTGTAAGTCATGATGGATATTTTCTATAAAATGATTTTCACTTTGTTAAGGGCCGGTAGCAACTCAAGATGATTACTGAGTAAAAGGCACTGGCTATGCCGATATATGGGAAGATAACGGTTAAAACTACACTTTAACAGGTTAAGACTGTAGTGATCGAGAAAACATCCTCTTGGGAATCAGTTCCACAGAACTGGTTCGCCAGAAAAAGATACGCTAGTGAAAATAAATTCTCACTAATGGAATACGAAGCAGGTAAAATCAGGTGTAAAAGAATACTATATTATAATGATAATATATTATATAATAATATATATTTTTTACAAACAGCTCCTTTTAGTCAATTAAATTGTTTTAATTGTTTTTCACGCCAAAAGCTTTAGTGAAATAAAATCAAAAATGTGTAACGATCTAAAAATAATTTTAAAAGCACGGTAAAAATTAATATGTTATCAGTATTTCTATAAAATTTCCACACAGAAACAAACCCTTAAAAACCGATTTTGTTAAATATTTGTTTGTCTATATTTCTGAGATGAGGTATTATGTACATTATTTACATTGGTCGGACTATTGTTCTCGTCTTTCTTGCCATATTTATCACAAAGTTTCGGACGTTGTACGCTCAGGCCTTCTTCTGTGGGATTAGGTTGAAATCATAGACAAAGAACATCATTGGAAAATTTGTAAACTTAAGGAATCAGCACATATTCTAGGCCACAAAAATCTCCTGAGCCGACCAAGCATAGAATTGAATACAATATGGGAGACAGTAATAAGGAGTTCCAGAGAAAAGCTATAATTACAATGCAAATTGCAATATGAGTTCTGGTAAAAAAAATTGGCAATGATAACAATAAAAATTGCAATATGAGTACTGGTAAAAAAATGATTGCTTAAAACATTAAGCTTATAAGTCCCAGAAATTCATACACAGATGTCCTTAAGGACACATGGCACAGTGAATAAAGGCGTTGGTTAAGGCAGTGTAGAACTTTGATAGATGAATTAACAGGAGATAACTGACAGCCATTAGACATGGCACGTGGAAATCCAACAGTCTACCCCAGCGAGTGAAATAAAGGGTTCAGTTCGACATTCCAACCATCTGAAGAAGGCCGGAGCGTACAAAGGCCGAAACGTTGTGATAAACATGGCAACAAAGATGAGGACAATAGTCCGAACAATCTAAATATTTGTTGTTCACCTTATAATTCTATCCAAAGGCTAACAAATTGCCGAATACCGATTATTATTTATGTGGGAATACAGACGTCGTTCATCTCTTATATGGTTGTTTATATGAACATTTGCATTATCCTAACACAGGAAAAAACATGTTGCGCTATTGATTGTACATTGTTTTAACCGTCTAGTACTTTTTAATATACATTGCATGTATATCCTTTTTTACATTGTAGTTTGTATAAAGTACATTTCCACATTTCTATTATATCAACAAAATGCAGAATAAAAGTGACTCCTCGTGGCAGGTTCTCAAACTTGTTTATAGGACGAGTCTTGTAGGGATAAAGAAGGCCATTTTCTTCGATTTTGGACCCGACTCTGCTCCAAATCCTGGTTCCGCCCCAGATATATACTGAGATGGCTACCAGTCAAGGAATAGTGATTGAAATATTCACTATGAAGGTACTTGTCCGAGTAAATCATGTAGTAAATATTAAAAAAAAACAAAAAAAACTAAAAACTTGATACTAGAATTTTCAGTCGACACTAGGGTGGATCAGCGAAAGATACAAATCAAAACAACAAATACGGTATACTAGTTATAATCATTCGTGAAATGATGAAAATCGAGAGTCACCGATGTGCTGTCAGTATCCAGAAATGTTGTAGAATGGGACGTGGCCAGAAATGTCCTGAGAATATTCGTCTGAAAATTTATAACACCACAAATGAGTCTCGAATAAGTAATCATTTGAATGAAAAAAAGAAGGAAATAAAGAAAGATCACGATATGAAAGGATTCTATTACGTAAGACAAGGGTCGGCAACCTACGGCCCGCGGGCCGGTTCCGGCTCGCGAAAGCATTTTGACCGGCCCGCGCGCCTGATTACCAATGACTGTATTTTTAATATGAGAGACAACCTTCAAATGAAATTTGTTATATGTCATTTTCCACAGAATGTCTACACATCTCAGTGCACTAAAAATATTAGACTATCTGCCAGTTATCTTTCATGAGACTTATTTTACCAAGTTGCGTTGCCCACGTTTAATGTCAAATAATGGATACATATTTGTTATGACACTTGGCTACATTAAAAGATAACAGAAGCGAAAGGAACGATAAAGTGAAAGAGGCCAGGGAGGGACTGACATGCGAGGTAGCAGAAATCTAAAGACAGTTAAACATACGCGCATTATACATACATGCCTCATGAATTTGTGGATGATACCGCATGTGTACTTACGTAAGTGTATATGTTTGCAACTATTTGTACTCGTATGTATGGGCATATGTGCTTCGTTTTCGTTTGATGTGTGTGTGTGTGTGTGTGTGGTTCGTTTGTGGAACAATTTTTATTAACAGTTTCAAACCTACACGTCATAATTTCATCCATTTCACTTCGGTTGTTTTTTTTCACTTTGAAGTATTTTGACGTTCCTTGAAGAAAAGAAATTTTTGTTAGGTGTTTTTTAATGCAATTTTCTGATTTCTCAATGTTTATTTTCATTATGGTTTTAAATATTTAGGTTGCCAGGGGTCTGCATATGTAATTTTCCTTAATTTTTCATTAATGGCCTTCGTCCGGACCGCGACCCTTCATTATAACACGATCCGGCCCGCGGGGTCGAATGAGTTGCCGACCCCCTGACGTAAGACTAAGTGACTGAGAGAAATACTTAGAAGGAGTGAAAGAAAGGGTGAAAGAAAGAAAGGGTGAAGGAAAAAAAGAAAGAATGAAAGAACGATAAGACTCATGAGTCAAGTCGCATTCGCTTAGTGACATCATGTCATACTCTGACGAAAGCGGTAGTCAGATTTATAGCAACTACAGCGAAAGTTGGCTATCTTTAGCCCGGTTCATGGGTGAAAATCTAAATCTAACTCCCCAGCAGCTTACAAGCACATGGTTCCGTTTCCTTATATCTTTCCCATATATAGACGGAAACTACAGCCCAAAACTTACTGTTTCTCGTTCGTTGAATATATCCTCTCCTGGAATATATATGAATCTGGTCCGTTTGACGCTGGAGTCCTAAAAATGGCTTCTCCAGGTCAAGAGTGTCTCCATATATGTAAGACCATATTTTTTGTTCCTCCTTATACTCTTATTTGTTGTATATGATATATTTTCCTAGCGTGGGACATGTGTATATATAGTTTTGTGCATATCTTAGAACAACGTATGTTTGTCATTCCTTTTGATTTCAGCCATTCCGTTACGTCCGTGAACTACGATATTATTATATCGCAGATATATTAATATCCATAACGGGGGGGGGAATTTGGAGAATTAATATTTCTTCTATAGTTCTCTCCCTTTACAATTATATTAGGTATTGAATTAAGCATTTTCAGTATGCAACTTGATAATGTTTCTATTCTTTTTTCTTATAATTTTACACCAAGCAAGGCAACAGAGCCATTAACAGGCGCTGGGCGTGAAATAATATAAGAAAAAAAAACAATTATTACGGAGGGGGAAGAATAAAAGAACATAAAAGAAGAAAAAAGATAACGATTGACATTGCATTTAATTTTTTCAAACTTGACTGGAAAGCAAGAAGCCAGAAGAGAGTTCCACAAGCAAGAAGTGCGAGAAAAGAAACTGTTAGTATATAACTTACGGTTACATCTAGCCATTTCGACCGTTAAATGATGAGAGCCTGTCGGTAATCTAGTAATGTGTTTCTATTCATAGAGCTAGGTAGCTTATAGAAGAGTTCATCAGTAGACTTACCATGAAAGTGTTTATAGAAAAGGTATAGGGAAGCTCTATTGCGGCGTTTTGGAAAATGGCTGAATTTGAAATGCGAGGTCAGGACCAATAATATTGCAGATTCTTCTCTAAAGATATTTAAATCTGTTGAATTTCCTGGCTATCTGCTAAATCCATGAATTCGCAAAAAAATCGTCTCCAATTTCTACTTGCTTCTTGACGTGGAACATACGTAAAGTTCCTTCACCAATGCCTATGCTATATAATGAATTAATGGTATTTTTATGAGGGAATGAATTACTTAGGATGTATTTTTAGGTAAAGCATTTATCAGTGTTATTTTTCTATATATTAAATTAATGTTTCCCTCTATAATGAATTAATGTTCTGTTCTAAATAAAGAATTAATTAGTGTTGTAATAAATCACTGTTCTTTTCTACTTAATGAATTAATTTGTTCTGTTATGAATTAATTAGTGTTCTTTTTTTATTATATAATATATAATCGATGTGATAT